CTAAGTATCAGAAAAATAATAAAATCTTTGTTGTAGTGCTTGTTTTGATTTTGAAGTTAGCTCCCATAATTTTCAGATTCAAGCTCAGAAGAGGAGCAGTACGATTTGTTTTATATGGTGCACCCAAAAACATTCTTGTGCATCCAATTCTTTAGGTTGGGTGCACCAGTGCACCTATTCCCAAAGATGAATTTCTTGCCCTGCTTGGAGTCCTACAGGTAATGAGATTGAGTCAGGTCTGCAAAGCTAATATTATCAGGGGGAATGGGATTGTATTAGTCTTGTATCTTTGTCAATATTTGCTAATGGGATTACGGAGAACACAAATCATGAGGTATGATTCATCGAATTTGCTATTTTAGTCACAATTTCGCATATTTTTCCAACCTTGAGGTGTCCGTAGAGGAAATTTTTTTCTTTTTTGCAATGCTTCTGTCAATGGTGAACTAAATACATCTCAAGAGTTATTGTGTGAGCTCTACATTGTTGACTTAAAAAAATGGTCACAATTAGTCACAATTACGCATATTTTTTCAACCTTGAGGTGTCCGTAGAGGAAAAATTTTTTTTTTTTGCGATGATTCAGTCAATGGTGAACTGAATACACGTCAGAGTTGAGTGAGCTTTGCATGTAGGAGGCTGCATTGTTGACTTAAAAAATGGTCACACATAATATTTTTTCAATCTTGAGTTGTTCGTAGGGGGGGAATTTTTTTTTTTGCAATGATTCTGGCAAAGGTGCACTGAATACACATGTACGTCAGAGTTGAGTGAGCTCTACATGTACATGTAGGAGGCCACATTGTTGACTTAAAAAATGGCCAATTACACAATGTCATAGTATTTTTCCAACCTTGAGGTGTCCGTAGGGGGGAAGTTTTTTAATTTTTTTGCAATGATTCTGGCAAAGGTGCACTGAATAGACGTCAGAGTTATTGTGTGAGCTCTACATGTACATGTAGGAGGCCACATTGTTGACTTAAAAAATGGTCACACATAATATTTTTTCAATCTTGAGTTGTTCGTAGGGGGGGAATTTTTTTTTTGCAATGATTCTGGCAAAGGTGCACTGAATACACGTCAGAGTTATTGTGTGAGCTCTACGTGTACATGTACATGTAGGAGGCCACATTGTTGACTTAAAAAAATGGTCAAACACGTGTTTAAACAGGAACATAAAGTAGTCCGCGATGAATAATGGATTGTCGCGGCCACAAAAAGCTTCCAACAATAGAATCATCTGCCGTGTCTTTCTGACCTCTTTTATAGAGTTCACCGGGCAATATTGCAAATGCCAATCCTGTACAACAGAAGATCTCTTTTACCCCCAAAAAACATCCAGCCAACACCAAAATACACCCAACAACTGCTTAAATTTCACACATATCTCTAAACCTACATAAAGAGGGTTCCAGAAATATTGTTTGGTCAACTTTAGGTCAGATATTTGCTCTTGCGAGACAATGAAAGGTTGACAGACAGTCACTATTCTCTTAGGGGGAGCGCCAACAGTCTCCCTGAGTGCTCTCCATTGTACTGACTCACTCTCCATTAAATTAAGTCGGGACAACTGGGAGCTCAAAAAATGTGGCACGATTTTCTCAGAAAAAAAACCCCACAGGAATGAAAGTATTGATGATCAAGAGAGAATTTCCTGTTTGAAGAACATTTCTTAGAAATCTAATGTTTAAAACATTAGATCTGACAAATGCATCATTAAAGGAAACATGATAATTGTCTTTCAGTAATATACGATATACAGTATCAAAGCTCTATTAGTTTTGAAGTACAGAAAATATCAAAAGAATGTGAATTCCTTTCATTTGATATCATAAGGATGATAAAAGATATTTCTATCTCTCAGATATTGGTATCGTATATGTACAAACTATTGACAAACATCAAGAAGATATTATACTTGAATGTGTATCTTTCAAAACTTCAAATCCTAAGAACAACTGAACCTCAACTTCCAATTAAACATTGAGAAAAGGCAAAGATACAACACCAAAGGAAGACCAAAGAAGACAAATAACACGAGACAGAAAAACACATCAAAAGAATCCATCTTTTGTCTTCACCATGAAAAGAAACCTGAATGTAAAAGAGACTTGAAAGCAGATCAACCACATGAAAGAACAGGCTAGCTCCGGGCTACGTTCTGATCATCTTAAAAGGTTCAACCCTTCAAACTAACTTGCTTGTTCTTCCAGCCTGTTGCATCCTTGACACTACTGCAATAAAAAGGCATTAGGCCATTCACACAATGGAAACAACTCCAGGCTACTCGGGGTCGATAACTGGGACCAAGCCAATGCTTTAAGTGAATTTGTTAGAGTGCACTGGTGCACAGATTACAAGAGATATCCATGTAGCTAGCCCCCGAGTTATTATATCTCTGCAACGCAAATGCTGTATGGAGCAAGCGGGTAAATGTTAACGGGAAAAACACTTAATTTACTGGTGCAGTGTGGTGTGGCACTCAGAGGTCTGTAAAAACAGCAACAGAAAAATTAAAGTGGCTTACAGTAAAAAGTTAACACCAGTTGCATTTCTCTTATATTACATGTACCCACGAATGTACATAATTTCCCAATCATAAACGTTATTTCACCCACCCTAAATACACACAAGACACAACCTGTGCATAAAACGAACAACCATTGCCTTTGACAGTTGATTCATAGGAAATTCTGAAGACTTCACGGCAAGATAAAAAACAATCTTACCATCAAAATCTTTTCCTTAACAATCGCCATATGTATATATATGATTGTGTATAAAAATAGATATAGATTTCTGCTATCATTCAATTAGCTTTCAACAATTTCTACTATCGTCTGAAGTCTCAAGTCCAGGATCACAAGTCTATTCTGAGACATAAGAAAGGTTTCCTGCTCGCATCCTCAAAGATTTCTCAAGAACCTTCTATCGCGAGTAGCCTACGCATCTTCAAGGCCCGCGTTTCGCTCCCTCCTGGGACATGGAAACAGGATAAAAGCTGGGCTTTAAAGTTGCCTGCACTTTATTTTAGTGGAGGGAAGTCTAGATAAGAGTTAAAGTGTAGTATCATCTCTTCCCTTGAGGTGAAACATCACTCAGCCCAACTGCAAGACTTCATTGTCTTAAAAGTTTCCGATAAAAAGCAGCGATTCCAGTTTCTGTGCTTCCTTTTGCCAAATAAAGCAACAAATGTCTTGTACACCTGGTTGTGTAATAGTATAACACTGCCTTGTATATCAACCACCTTGAGCCTTTTCTTGGATACCAGAAGTTGAGTAAGATGCTTAAGAAGGAAGTGGCCAGCATTTTTGCTTGTCGGAGAATGCATCTGTACCTACTAAAGCTTTAAATGGACTGAGATGTTGGGTGTGCTCTGTCTGAAGGATGGCCCGCCACGAGGCAGAAGATGGTAACGTTGCCAAAGTGTTCTCCGTGGTGATTCCCCCCTCTGTACTCCCCAATTCATCACGCCACTTGCAGGATGGGCTGATAATGACATCGGGCGGTGTACTCTCTCCAGGAAGGGGCCAGTCGATATACTAGAGTCAGTGTTTCCTCTCTCCGCGCGGGATTTGTGCGCTCGCGATTAGAGGTTTACCCAGCTGCCAGCGATCTTTGCCTGACCTCGACATTAAAGCGCACAGATGCTGTTTCCCCTCAAGTACATGTCGAGATGCTCAAGTGCTAAGTCAGTCTATCTGCGGCGCCACGTCTCAGTGTTTTTAGTATAATTCAAAAAGATATATTTGGAGATCTGGCAGGGAACATGGACTGACTGCAAGTTCTAAGTGAGTCGAGAGGAAAATTACACGGGGGCAACATTCGTACACTACAGATGCATTAAGGGCGTGGGAGTAATGATGTCAGAAAAAGCTTTTCTGTCCCAAGACAAGAGGAATATCCTAATCCTTGCTTGTAGTCATATTCTTGACATAAAAGCCCTTTCCGTCAAAATGCATAGAATGCATACAACATAATGCCAACTCTGGAAAACATGTTGTTCAACAAAAATAATAACCATGTTGACACAAGGAAAAATATTGACAAAGCTCTTGTGTAACATCATTGCCCCAAAATTCTACTAAATACCTTTCAGTAATACATAAACTAGCACTATTTTCCCTTTAACTTTGACAATATGCCTTGAAAATTGTCCTTAGATTGATGTCCTTCTTGAATCGAGGCCAAACAATTTGCCCTTCCTCTTAAAGACCTTTCTGAAGGTCCGATCATCTCTATTTAAACACCAGAGAAACATGCATGGCAAACAATATTCAATAAACCTCATATATATCACTTTTCTTTGATAACCAATTTCCACTCTCACCATAACAACGGATCAATGTTGTAACACGGCAAGTTGATATCTGCTTAATTAAATTCTTGTGCCTCGTTAAAGGGGAAACGATTTCGTTGAGTAAACATCAGAGCTGTGCCTTATTGATTCAACATCATGACACACTTATCTCTCTCCCTCGTTTGTACACATCGCGACAAACGGGTGCTTAATTCTCACCTTAAGCCAATAAGTATTCCTAGAACGCAGATTTCTGCAAGGTTGTCGTTTAGAAAAGCGATGGCTTCGAGCCAAAAAATCATTCCGTAGATGAAACCATGTACAAAGTCAGGTACATAGACAAGGTCATAAGTAAGGGAATATACCGACAGTTAGTATTGATTTTCCGGTATTATATTTGGCAACCTTGCACTATAAAATATCTGAGGCATTGTTGGCGAGGCTTCATGTTTTGGTAACAAAAGGCTGCCAAATCCTAGGATTAGAAACAAAAACAAACAAACAAAACCGCTTAATGCCTACTACATGTATTTTCACCCACCTGAAAAATGATTACATTTTCTCCTTCATCATTTAATCAGAAGCACTGATCCAAAACCATCAACCCAATCATTTTACAAATGCACACAGGGATAGTACAATGTAAATAGACACTACTACAGCAGAAACTGTAAGCAAGAAAAGCATCTGAATTCCCTACCTGGTTGAAGTTATACTGGTTGAATTGACTGTAACAGCTCACAACATGCCCACTGTAAGCATGCTGGTTGTGATACACGATATCCATACCCCCCGCTCC